CAACAGAACAAATGTTCCAATTACAGAACAGAAAAGTATAGACATTCAAGTATAAACATTAAAAATATAAAAAATCATAATTCTAAATAAATACAAATAGATATATAAAATACAAAATACGTTCTAGTTTCTATAATATTAGTAAGTTAAAAAATTCAGTTGCTATTTATGGTACGGTGGTTTATGTCACACTGCATAGATATTAATTTATAATTATTGCCATGACATAGATGGGAGTTTTAAAAAGTATGTTAGTTTTAGCACTCTCATAATAGAACATGCAATCAGCACGAGACCCATGTCTAGGAACTCGTATATTGAAGGAACCCAGTAGATATGCTGAGTCAACACTGGCATGAAATAGTTTAAATAAGAAAGATAAACTATTGAGTATTCTTCTAGTTTGCAAAGACTGCATTTTGAATCGATCTAACAGCAGCCTATGTTCATATCCTCTATTTGGACAATAACCATCAATTCGAAAGCTTAAAAATTTAAGAAAGCGACGTTGAACTTTTTCAAGCTTGTTAATGTGTATCTGGTAGTAAGGATATAAGACTGCAGTATTCTAATTTAGAACGAACTAGTGAGTAAAATAGCCATTTCAATGCAGACCTTACACTTATCTGTATTAATAGCTAATTGTTTGTTCTCACACTATCTACTTACAAGACCTGCTTGCTCTTGCAGTATTAAACAATTTTCCAAATCAGATACGTTCAAAATAGCTTCAAGTCGTCGGTAAAAAATAGATGATCAGATTTTAGAGAAAGAAAGCAACATCATAGGATTTTAACAACAAATCCTTCTACAGAACTTCAGACATCCAATGGTCCAATCAATTTAATATACTGATTAAGGAGAACGTGGTAATTTTTTAGATTTTGCTTAAATATGAGTCAGGATATATCATCATTGCATAATTTGTTCTTAACCACCTTACTTCTGGGGTATATATGAGTCCTCAGTATTCATGTTACAACAATATTACGCAACCAAATGGACTGACGACAGGATCAAAGAAAGTGGAAGAATGGTCAGGCGCAATTGGCGTGTGACAGGTTAAGTTTTTTTAAAGGGACACAATTGGGCTGCAGGTTAAGTCGATATGAAGGTGACCTCAAATACATCCTCTGACACTGTATTTGAATGGATGAAAAGGTACAGATACCTAGGAGTAACATCTTTGTCACCTCAAGATGTTAGAGTGATTCTAGCTTGCCTTCGAACACAGTACGAGTCAGTTTTAAACTGCTACCGGCGGCATGCATAATGGATCATAAGACCTGAGTTTAGTGTAAAAAATTGGTCTTAATATTTTGCGTTAGTTCTTCAAGATAGATTTGTCTGTTTTTCCTGAATCAATGTTTAACTGCTAACCGGGTTCAAATTGCTGACCAACCAGGTATTAATTTTTTTTTTCTTGATAAAAATCCATTGCAATACCGAATGTTGTAACTGTGAAGGGATAAATTATAATCCATTTTAATTTAGTACCAAGGTTTATTTTCTTTTCACTTGTTTTAGCTGCAGTGATCGGAGAAAAATGATAGTAATTGGAAAATAATTGGCTGCACAAAACTGATATTAAGTGAAATATTTGTGTAAAATAATGAAAATCTCGACAAACTATTATGCCTTCGTACTTGATACGATGACTTGAAAGAAAATGATCGATATTTTCATTATTTTGTATATGTTTTTATGTCATTTACTAGCAGTTTCATGTAACCAATTTTTTTCCAATGGCTGTAATTTTTTCCCTGACGATGGCATAACAACCGAAACCGAAAAAAAAATTGTACTGAATTAAAGAGGCTCTAATTTATCCTCTCACACAAAATATATTTGTTGAACTCTTTACTACTTATATTTACTAACCAGTTCCTTTTTTGAAACTTTATATACAGGTGAGAGTCGCGAACGGAACAGACATTTCCACTCTTTTCCTTGTACTATATTTGTAGAACATATTTGATGAAAAATTTTATATTTACTAACGATTGACCTTTATGATACGTATACAGGGTGTTTCTCGATAGGGTGATAGAGGGCAAGAAAATGAGAAAATTTTATTAAACAACTGATGGTCTAAATACTTCCGTTTTCGAGAAATTGAATTAAGAAAATTAACCATAAATGTAAACCGACGTGAAAAGCTGTCGCGCGTGTTCAAAATCGATAGTGCAACTTTAGTCTTACTTTTCTCGGGATCTATAAAAGATAAAATAATATATTTTTTTAATTTGATACTACGCGAGTGAGTAATTTATTGCAACATTATTCATAAAAAAAATTGGAAAAATAACTGCTGAAGGATATGTGATTGGTGAGACATGTATAAAAACTGATATTTATTGCGTTTAATCGAAAATCCAAACTTTTTTCGAGATTGAAAAACGCGGTCGATCAGCTTCCCCCACCACACCGCCGCGTGGCACTTAATGGGAAATCGAACTCGGCTGAGTTTCGAAAATTGTTTTATGTAACTTCTCTCTTGCCCGTACAATTATTAATATTTACTGTACTGAAAGTACTCCGGTTGCTGATTATGTGCACATTTTTTTTTCGCTTCGCACTTTATTCAACAATATCCGTCAACTTTGAAAGTCCATAACTCCGCTGTTTATTAACGAATCGTGACGAATCTTTTTTCAAATTGAAGTGTTTTTTATGTACATGTAATAAAATACTAAAAAAATTATAAATTAAGGGCGTATTTAATTTTACAACTAAGGAAATTTTTTAAATAATTTCCCTTCGCCATAAAAATGCATTTTTTGAGAAAAAAATGGAACTCGGTAGTTTTTTGTTAAATCTATCAATAAAAAAATTGGCGCGACTTCGGGTACCGCTCAGATTTGTACAAATCGTTATTTGTCTGCAGTGAGGGATGATTGAGTGTTATCCGAAGAAGCTTATGTGATAACATCGCGATTTATTACTATTTATTTAATCGGCAGTTTTTTGCAAGTAACTTTTGAAATTTTTTGACGCTCGAGACGTCGTTTTGTAGATCTTTTAAAGACGAACAAAAATTATTTTACAATTTCTCTGTAGATCCGTAAGAAAAAAAGTTACAGTCGAAAAACTCGAATTTGTAATGTTTGATCAACTTTTAAACAATGTCGTCCGTCTTTTTCAGCGTGCGGATATGGTACATATTATTCTACACTATTTTTACTCTCTGCTCACAACAAAATCAGCCTGACCGAAGAATTATGCATGCATACTCCTACATTTCCTGGTCTAAAAGATCTCGGTTCCAGTGAATGTGTGGCGTGGTGTTTTTAGTGACATAATTTTGACCGTCGTTTAGAAGCATGGAAACAACTTTGTCTATTGGTAAATAATTCGTTTAATTTTTGTGCTATTTTTAAACGAGATTTGAATAAATTTCAGCACTTTCGAACGTAAACTTTAAACCGCCAAAACCGCCATCAGAGCTTTCGCAATGTGGCGCGCGGCGGGTACAGCTGGCTGTCGCGCCAGGGACGGCTTTAAATTTGTTTAAACCTTCATGTGAAATTTTTTCTTCAATTTAAAACGTAAAACTCTATCATTCGTTTTAGCGAACGCACTTATTTCAGAAATACCCTGCATACGCGATGTTTCACAAAATTTACCTTTTACTTTTCTTTACTTTTTAACTTGATTCATGGAAATCTGTTTTGTATTAACCAACTAAACGTTTTTTTAATATGTGATATAAGTACAGTATAGGAAATTACGTTGTATTATTTCAATGAATTTCAATGAATACAAATTTATTTACTTCAGGATATGAGAACTGTTCCGTAAAATCTCAGTTTATCACTTAATCCTTTCGCTCAGTGTAGAATCGCTGTGACGTCCCGGAACGTCCCTTTGAACGCGCTAAGATAAATGTTAATCCCTGTGTGTATTTAAACGCGACAGCAAAAGCCATTGTGTATCCAGTATCCAAAGGGAGGTAGGAAGGTATGCCAGTATTTAAGCAAGGCGTGTCCCGGTAATCCTATTTATTCGGTTGAGGCGTCGAGAGACTCCCGATATGGATGGGCTTCGCTGCGGATATCGTTCACCGCATGTGTTACCTGCAGGGGGCAGAGTTCATTCGCGTTCCGCTTGGGCATTAGACACCCGAGCCGAGCAAATAGCTTAAATATTGAACTAAACTCGTTTCTGATCGCTGCCTCGTACGACCAGCGCATGGTAATATCACTAATAACGGTGTTGGTGTATGCAGTTAATATGGAAGAGTTGAATTTGAGGGGAAATTTTCACACGATGCCTTGAATTATCGGGAAATGTGTTGCTCAGTAGGTAGTAGTTAATTTTCGTAAAATAAAATTACATAAATTGTGATTAAGTTATTAGTTTTCTATTCTAATTTGTTACTAATCCGGGCGAGTTAGACCAAACACATGCCTGTTTCAAAAATCGGGCCTAACTCGAATTTTATGGGCTTAAAATTAAGTAAAAATACCTAAAAAGTCTAAATTTGTGTATTGTGTATTTGCAGAGGTCGAGCGTCATATTGTTTATAAGAAAAGAAAAAAAATAATTGCTCTTTTTTTCAGTTTCTCGACAGGAGGTAAACTTATCGATTTTGTTCCTGTGGAAATTTGCTACAAGGATAGCATGATTTTCACAGAATTTTGCTTACACCATTCCAAAGAGGGAAAAAAAAAGTTGATTTTAAAAAAGTATCCCGGTAGCTGCTTTCTAAGTGCCACAATCCATTTGTTAAGTAAGAATTTTGAGAAAACGAGCGCAGCATGGGCACTATGACGTAACGGTGCTCCCCTCTCCTGGCTACAGCTCAGCCGCGTGGGCTGCCGCGCGGATCACTCTGTCTTTGGTTGACACCAGCCTAGTAGCTCGGCCGAGACAGCAAAGCAATTCTAGGCCGAACGAGTGACATTACCGAGTAGCTGTCTACACATAAAGTGGAATACGTGCGAGAGAGTTCAGTATGTTCTTCGTGATTATATATCATGTGTGCAAATTTTACTAAAATGGAGAAACGAAAAAGAATAAGAAAGTTTAGTAGAGTTATAATTCCATATTTAATAGCAGAGTTAGAAATGGAAATAAATAACAAGAAAAAACGAATTTGGTCAAGGCAATGGTTGCTGCGAAGACAGCACGGGGCGTCAGCTACGATAATAAAAGAATTAGAAAACGAAGATACAAAAGAATACAGATTATTTCTAAGAATGAATCTTGAACAATTCAGTGCAATATTAGAAAATATATCTGCCGTCATTGCAAAATCAGACACAATTATGCGAGATTCAATACCAGCAAAAATAAAATTGCAAATAACACTGACATATCTAGCTACAGGAAACAATTATCGCACGTTGCAACATTTGTTTCGTGTATCAAAGTCGGCAATATCGCGTTTTATCCCTGAAGTTTTAGATGCAGTTTATAGCTATTTAAAGGAATACATAAAGGTAAGTTATAAATTTTATAATTTTTTAGACTTATTTTCATCAGCCTTCACCGTCAGCAAACAGAAAATGCAGAGTAATAAAAATACTCATTCAGGTTGTACTAGTTTATTCTACAAAAACTTACAAGTTAATAATACTTTTTATGTAAATTAATGATAATCGGTAGTATTTTCAGTGTTAAAGGTTGCCCGTAGTGCTGCAGACAATATGTTGCTTTCTGAACTGTTATTCAACGTCGTAACGTCATTAATTCCATGAGTATCTATTTCTCCATGATTTGATGATGTTGAAGTTTGACAGCAATATCCAGGAGAAGTAGATGGAACTGATATGTAACTGCATGACGAAATAGATGACTCAGGCCGTGATCCAACCAAGCTGGATACAGTATTATGACGTTTTTCTTGCAAATTTTTTATGCCAATTTCAGTTAAAATAATTTGTATTTTACATTTAGCAAGTAGCGCGTTTTCTTCAGAAAATTCCTTGAACTGCATAGCAACGCTTTTACCAAATACATCATGTGCGTCTTCAACGGGTTCTAAGACGCTTTCGTTCAAAGCTTTTAAATCTGAAATAGCGCGAAATATCTCTTTTTTTTTGTAGTTCGCCGAGAAGATTCTGTACATCCTGCAGAACTGACTTGTTGGTTGGTCGCAATATCTTAACACTTCTTTTTGTTGGGTGGTGGATGCTCTTGTATATTTCGGCTTGCTGACAGTTGATCTTGACTTTCTAATGAGCTCTCTTCAATCTGCAAAATTAAAACAAAATATTTTAGGTTCCAGCAAATCAGGAAGAATGGAAAGTTATAGAAAACGGATTCAGGATTAGATGGAATTTTCCTGGATGTTGTGGTGTGATCGATGGAAAGCACGTAGCAATCCAAGCACCTGGTCATTGTGGCAGTGAATTTTGGAATTACAAAGGGACGAACAGTATTGTTTTGATGGCGATCGTCAATCATGACTACTGTTTCAGTTATATTAATACTGGCGCAACAGGAAGAAACTCTGATGGTGGTATTTTCAGAAACTGCTCAATATACCATGAACTGGAAAATGGCGGTATCTTACCAGATGGAGGGCTCTTAGTGGGTGATTATGCTTTTCCACTAAAAACATATTTACTAAAGCCATATTCACATACACCTCTGACAAGAGAACAGAAAATATTTAACTATCGGCTAAGTAGAGCACGTAGAATTGTCGAAAATGCTTTTGGCATTTTAGTTAGCCGATTCCGGATATTTCAAAAACCTATCATGACAAATGTCGGAGTAACTGATAAAATTCTACGAACTACGTGTGCTTTACATAATTGGCTAAGAATCAGAAGTTCTAGCACATACTTGCACAGAGGTAGTGTTGACGAAGAAAATGTTAATACTGGAGAAGTCATTGAAGGCTTATGGAGGAGTGAAACAGCAGCAACATTGACAAGCATTTATAACGTTGGTGGAAATCATACATCTAGGTTGACTAGAGAATTACGTGATAAGTACGCTCATTTTTTTTCTAACGAAGTTGCTGTTCCTTGGCAAAGTATAATGATTTACTAGCTATATATCATGTATTATGTATTAAATAAATCGTTGTATTAAATACATTTACTTACATTATCATAGGTGTCTCTCTTCTCTTCATTCCTGAAAACTGGTTACTCCAGTACCAGATTTCTTGGAATCCTTTATTTTTTTTATCTCTTGACTATACGTGGAACGGAGATTTTTTATTTTATTTTTAGCCTCTACAACACCAAAACCTTCTATACCCATGACTTTTATAATTGTTAATATAGCTGCTTCCCTCATTTGCCTGTTTTTGTAATTTTCGGACTTAAAGTCCCACAAGCACGAATGACTCTTATATTCTTGAATAAATTTTAAAGTTGTTTCAGAGTTCCACTTATTTGCCATTTCCAACTTCACAAAACACTATATTTTTTAAGCATTCAAACGGCAAACAGCCGTTAAAACAAAATCTTAATAACACTGCACGTTGAAAGCTTGTCCCTACATGCCGAATAAGCAACCGAGTCAGTGTCATGTGTGGAGGGGGTGGAAGAAGATCGACTTCTCGGCCGAGGGAATAGAACGTCGTTCTATTCACTGTCTCGGTTCTTTGCTGGACCGAGTGCTCACTCCACTACTGGACCCTGTGTCCATATTGACCTAGCACTCGGCCGAGCGTACTGACTCGGTCATTTACTCGGCTGGTGTCAACCATGCTTAACGCACGTTTACTTGGTCATTTTTTGGTCGAATCCATTAAAACAAAAAAGATTCATGTCTTTTTAAGCACTATTTGATGTAATTGGTTTAAAATCTGTATATTAAAAAACCGCCGAGATAAGGACCCTAGTTACCTTTTTGTTTGGTTTTCTTGTTAATAACTCTTTTTTTTTGCTTAAAAATATGAAATTTACGCAAACGCGAGGCAGTGTAATTACCTTTTGACCCTTTTTTTACCGAATTTCGATATTTTCACTTGGGCAGAAGATATACGCGCTCGCATTTTCGATTTTATAATTTTGCAGTAGGCCACCATTTTGAAATTGGGGATCCGGATTGCGGGTATTTGTTGAGCACCCTAACAGTTATCTCTTCCTGTAGTTTCATCCAATTTTAGTCAAATTTTGCACATTTATTTCTTCACCGCTAATTTTGCAATGTAAAAAAAATTTTGCGAACTTTTGCAAAAGCCTATCCTTATAGCAAATTTCCTCAGCAACAAAATCGATAAGTATACCTCATGTCGATTAGAGACTTATTTTCGGAGATATAAGAGAAAAACTGAAAAAAGAGCAATTATCTTTTTACTTTTGTTATAAACAATATGACACTCAACCTCTGCAAATACACAATACACAAATTTAGGTAGGCTTTTTTTTATTCTGTGTATTTTTTACCTTAATTTTAAGCCCATAAAATTTGAGTTGGGCCCGATTTTTGAAAAAAAAAACTTAATTTGCCCGAACTATACTGAGATGGCAATAAATCAGTGCTACAAAACTAAAAACCTGACAAAATCACTTTTAACCCTAAACTTCTCGGATGAGTCAGACCTAGATTTTTTTAAAGCCTCAATTATTACTTATTTTAAAGACTGATTTAGACAAAATGGAAAAACTTAAAACACTTAAAATATGTTTTTCTGAAACCGTCACAAAACTATGACATTTTTTGACTGACAGAAGTCTCTAAAATTTTCCTTTCTTAGAAAAAAAAATGGTATCTTAGCAACAAAAGTATTCACTTTTATTCCTAAGAGCTAAAGCTGATACTTTTAATCCTTAGATTATGTCCCGGTACTTTGAGTCTCGATTAAGGCTTGATTAACTAATCAGACCATTAGACTGTGATTATACATTATAAAATAAATCAATATTATGTCCAGTCTAATCGCCTGATCAGTTAATCAAGCTTTAACCCAGAATCAAAGTACCGGGCCTAAAAGTACCTATTAATCAAGTTTTAATTTACAAAAGTTTTTTCAACGATATTTACAATAATTTTTGTTTATCCACATTGATACACAGTTTGAACAAGTATAAAAATTAAATAGACCACTGAAACTGCCACTACCCTCATTCTTGGAGCAATTCTCAAAGCAGTACAACACGTTTTCATTAACAGTTATATTTATTTTCAGATGTTGTGAAATCAGAAATGACAACGGTGCTTGATTTATCATTACCACTATCAACTTTCAGTATTCTTTTAGCAATATTTTCTTTATTCAAAAGTGAGTCTTTAACGTAGCCTTCCGCCACAGTTCACGATCTCCATCCTCCGTGTCTTTTAATACAAGTGAGGTCACCACCGCCGTTAACTAAAAGGGTAGCACACGTTCGTCGTAATGCGTGCCTATTGTACTCTTTCCACTTGTCCAGCTTCAAAAATTTCCACTAACATATCTGAGAAATAATCGATTCTACCAATCCGGGTGGAACATGTTTTCGATCAGAGCTTAAATAATTAATTGTCTACCAGCACAGTAAAAGAACGTGGTCTCTTGGTTTTGGTATTGGGACTTGCGGATTTCTCATCTTCAACATTATCAATTGTTAAATTTACTAATTCATCAGAACGCATGCACCTGCAACCCCCAATATTAGGACGACCTATAAAGAAGCTTTTTTAAATTTTTTTTCTTTTATTTTTAAAGGGTTTACCTTCATCATCAAATATAAATTATCAGGTGCACTATTCAAAAAGCAATCGACTTGCTCCTTTGTAAATACTCGCGATTTTTTCGGAACACATCCATCGTTTTGTCGCTTGAGAAAAGCACGTAACTTTGAATATTTGCTTATATCAATCCCTTTCTTTGTATCCAACGTTGACCGCAACATTGAATATTGTGACCAAAGCGTTGACGCCTTCATTTTATTTGCTGAGTTTGAGAAATACACTATCAATACATCTTCTGAATACAACTTAATGTTTTTTTCTTTGCACCAATTCATAAAACGTTGGTAGACACATTCATAAATTTCTCGAGATTTCTTTGGGAGAAGATTCAAAGAAATCTCTTTCGCACACTCCAGTATCTCTTCAGGTAGGTACACCTAAATCTTCATTAGATTCCATTTTTACAGAGTTTTCAGCAAACTTAACCACAAACAATCACAAATGAACTCAATTAGCAATATGGCGACTAATGTTTGACAAAGTATCCATGACTACATCGATATATCCTACTTACCTACTTTGTTTTATTATCCAAATTTTGTTTCAATAATTTCAAAACAGAAATTAATTATTAAATGTATACTACACATTTAATAACAACCCCGGGTTCGATCGAAAAAAATAAATATGTAGTTGCGGCCAAAAATATGTGATCGTCATAAAGAATACCTACGTTGTACACATCAATTTTTAATTGATCGGAAGGCGCTGGCTACTAACTTCAAAGAGGGGAAGTATGGTGAAATTTTATAAAACAAAAGTAAAGTAAATACACCTAACTTTATTATTTACGTACAACAGTCTTCAAATTAAACATGTGACAAATAAAAAGAACAACAAAAACATTAACAACCATTTAACATAAAATGAGAGTGCCAGGCTGACCTAGAGCGCCTGTGGGGAAAGAGCATGGCAGAGAAATCCACGATCGTTGCTCTAACTACCAATATATAAATATAAAACAACCTCTAACAAAAGGCATAAATTAAGATCCTTAGCTAATGAAATAAATAACACCCGACTTATTTAATTTCTCACTAAATGTCACCTCACTCAAATTAGACATACACACTTCCAAGTAAAACTGAAGAGGTTTGGTGTTAGTTAGCCGGCAAAGCCGGATGGTACTGGAGTCCGATATGGGAGGCAATCCAGCTATGAGTTGAGATTTCGGAAGATCTGTTTTAGCAATTCTTTTTTGTATTTAATTATTCTTTTTATAGATTCATTCCTCACGGGCGAAAATGTTAGTAAATTCAACAGGGCTCTTATATGCGTATGACATAAAGTGAGCACAAGAAATGCTTTAGTATTTGTTTTTTGAACAACGTAATCATGACAAAACAAGTTAAATGTGAAACAAAGGAGTTGTTATTGCAATATCTGGACAGTCACGACAATATATACATATTTTAACAAGTAATAAATAATGAGCAATCGTTAATACTAATTGTAACAATTTTATCTTAGAAAAATATACGCCCCTGAGCGTAAGACAATGAAGGCTAAACATACACAATTTTTATCATGAAACCATCACAATCATAAAATTACATAGAACAATTAACAACAAAGTACTTAAAGAATATTACCTGCTAATTAATACGGGTGATTTTTCACTGTTTTGTCACACTGCCCACCGATCGTCTTACTACCCATCTCCACACTGTTCTCACTTCTACTATTTAGGCTTCCTTCCAGAATTCCCTACCTATAAGGGCTTGTTTTTGCTCTTCCTTCTACCAACTGTCAATCAAAAACACTTGAAGCGACTATGATTCTTCTTCATGGGATATTTTATATCACAAATTAGGGAAACCCTTTTTTATTTCTCAAAAAGTAACTATGCGATTTCATTACAGTTATATCCGTTAGCTAAAGACTGCCAAAAAAATCAA